GATCCATAGGGGTTTCGAGCCCTTTCCTCGCTGCTCTGAGTCAGACATGACACTGTTGTCTAGGTGTGGGGCCATGCGGGTACCCATAGCAGTGCCACTGACTTGAAGGTATAAGTTGTCCCCAAATCTGAAGTGGTTGTGGGTGAGGACAAAGTCACAAAGCTCAGCCACCAGGTGTGCTGTGGCCTCATCAGGGATACTGTTCCTGACAGCTTGTAGTCCATCCTCATGTGGAATATTGATGTAAAGTGCTTCTACATCCATGGTGGCCAGGATGGTGTTTTCAGGAAGAACACCAATGGATTGTAGTTTCCTCAGGAAGTCGGTGGTGTCTCGAAGATAGCTGGGAGTGCTGGTAGCGTAGGGTCTGAGGAGAGAGTCCAAATAGCCAGATAATCCTGCTGTAAGAGTGCCAATGCCAAAGAGATGATGGGGCGTCTAGCTCCAGGGTTGGAACTAGACAAGTTCATGGAGGTTAGGTCCATCAATGGCTATGAGCCAGGATGGGCAGGGATGCCCCGCGCTAAGAGGGCCCCATGCCGCAGCTCTCCACCCCACCCCCAGCTCACTTCCCCCTCCTCCCCTCCCCTGAACGCTCCGCCCCCTGCTCCTCCCCCTCCCCTGCTTCTGATTCGCGGGAAGTCTGAAAAGAAGCAGGGGCGGGCAGGCAGCACCAGGTAACCTGGGATGGTGGGGGGGCGCGAGAAGGGCTCCGGGGAGGCGCGGCCCCAGTCCGGCCCCGGTTCCGGCCGAGCGCACCAGCCCCAGCGGCTCCGGCCCGGCTTGACTCCAGCCCGGCCCCCGCGGTACGGCTTGGCTCGGGTCCGGCCGGCCCCTCAGCTTGGTTCCAGCCCAGCCCCCGCAGCGCGGCTTGGGTCCGGCCCGGCCCGGCCGCCATGGCGCAGCTCCGGCCACCGAGCGGCTCTGGGCTGGACCCAAGCCCAGCGACTCCGGCTCGATTCCTGGGGCCACTCTTGCTAAAGCCGGCCCTGCTGACAGGGCGAGTGGCTGGGCAGCCCGAGCTGCCAGGGACCTGCCACCGCCCCCTCCTGCCCCCGGACCCAGCCCACCGCGCACCTCCCCGCCTCAGCCCCGCGCTGCCTGCCCTGGGCGGGGAGAGGCAGAGCCCGGCTCCGAGCGGGGCAGCGGGGGATACTGCCCCACTGGGGGACCCCCGCAGATCGGGCACCTGGGGGTCAGTGTCTGTCCTCTCAGCTCTGCCTGCCAGGGGCTGGGGAAGCAGCTGTCAGCACCTGCCCCTCTCAGCCCTTGCACCCCCCATCCCGCTCACAGCCCCTCCACTTGTACCTCCCCCCATCGCTCCTTCGCCGCACCCCTTCCCCTTGTACTCTCCCTTCACCCGCACCTCTCCCCTTGTACCCTCCCCCAGCCCTCTCCTCCCGCACCTCCCCCTTCCCCTGCACCTCTTCTCCCGCAACCTTCCTGATACCCCCTCTCCTCCTCCACCCTCCTCCGTGAGTACATCACACCCCACCTCTCTGCCAGTGTAGAGCTCCCAAGCGCCCCCACACCTGCTCCTCTGCCTGAACCCTCTTTACTAGATCCCCATCCCTTTCCGGGTACAAGGTTTGAGGGTTAGTCCCTATGCCTTCCATGTGCATTTGGAGCACTACAGATGGGGTTGCAGGGGACGGAGGGGGGGGGGCAAGATTTATACTAAAGTGAAATAAAAATAGGAGAAACGGTTTGATCCCCACTGCAAGTATAAACGGGGATTGCTGTGGTGAATTAGGAGGTCACGTTTGGGGGGGGAGCCCAGGGCTGGGGTGGCAGGGGATGCGGGTGGAGGGGGAAAAGAGAGCCCAGGGCTGGGGTGGCAGGGGATGTGGGTGGGGGAGGGCACTGGTGGGGGGTGGAGGGAAGAGCCCAGGGCTGGGGTGGGGGGGCAGCCAAACATTTTTTTTGCTTGAGACAGCAAAAAACCTAGAGCCGGCCCTGACACTGCCTGTAACTGGGAGGGGGGTGTTGGGGAAATTCAGGGGTGGTCTAGGAAAATCCCTGGGCTGTGAAAATCCCTTTCAGGGAAGCTGCCTTTGCTCACACTCATAACTTAACAACGAGGCTGGAGCAGCAGCCACCCACCCCAGGGAGGAAAAACCTGCTTCACGCTTGAGGGCAGTGCGGATGACGTCACCCAGGCAGGAAGAGGCTGTGAGGCTGGCAGAGCCAAATCGCCTCTCCGGCAGTACACATCCGCCTCGGGGCCAGCGGCCGCTGCTGATAGGGGGACAGGCCGCCAATGCCAGCCCCGGGGGAAGAGGAAGCCTCTGAGGCGTGTGGGATGAGCGGCAGCGCCTACGCGCAGAGAGGCGCCCGAGAGCGAGCCCCGCACACGCCGCGTGCCGCTGGCGGCCCAGGGAGGTGAGGCGGCGGGCGCAGCAAGTGACTGCGAAGGAATGGCCCAGCAACAGCCCGCCCTGGGCAGCGCCCCGCCGCCCGCGTACATTCACACCCTGCCGGCCTGCGTGCTGGAGGACTTCTGCCAGAAGATGGACTGTCTGAACGACTACGACTGGATGCGCTTCGGTGAGAGCGGGGCGCTGCGGGGAGGAGAGCGCGGAAAGGGGAAGGGGGGCGGGTTTGCGGACGAGGAGCGACTCAGGCAGGGGTCTAGCCAGGCAGGTGACAGGACGGACAGAGGGATGGAGACAAGCCCCGGCAGTGAACTCTACTTTCTAAGATGGGTTCAGGCGCCAGTCACCCAGAGGATTCCTGACAGAGGCGCTTTTTGGTGCGCTCTAAAGACCAGATGCTGTAGCTGGATGCGTGTGGGGCTCCGGGCTTCACCTGCGTGGAGCCATTAGCAGGATCAAGCTGTAAATAACTTAGTGGTGACTAAACCTCCAGTCTATTCAGATAAGCACAGAAATACTTCGGATATCTAGTGTGACTTCTGGAAGTCCCTCCTGGCTCCTCCACCCCAGCCAGGCTCCCAGCTCCCACAGGCTTTCCACCCTTCTCCTCTCGTGCCACTCCACTACCATTGTTTTCTACGCTATTGATTCCGTTCTCTAATCCAGTGGTTCTCAAACTTTTTGTACTGGCGACCCCTTTCACACAGCAACCCTCTGAGGGCAACCCCCCTTATAATTTAAAACCACATTTGTTTATATTTAACACTATTACATGCTGGATGCAAAGCGGGGTTGGGGGTGGAGCTGGGCTGGAGGTGCTCCGGGTGACTGCCTTGCCCGCAGGCACCAGCTTCTTCTATTCTCCAGGGTGCTCAAACCCCACTTAGCTCCAGGCCCCGCTCCCACTCCACCCCCTTCCCCCAAAGCCTCATCCCCACCCTGCCTCTTCTTGCCCCTGCTTCACCATTGCCCCTCCATTTTCTGCCCCCAGCACCTCCTGCACAGCCTGGAACCGCTGATTGTGGTGGGCAGGAGGTGCTTGGGGGAGGAAAGCTTAGCACCCACTGATTTTTTTCTGTGGGTGCTCCAGGGCTGGAGCACCCATGGAGTTGGCACCTATGGTCTCACGCAGGGCTGGGAGCCAGCCAGCTGACAGCCAGAGCCCCACCATGCGCAGAGCTGACAGCTCACAACCCCCTTGTAATAACCTCATGACCCCCATGTAATAACCTCACCACCCCCAGTTTGAGAACCCCTGCTCTAATCCCATCAGTCCCACCCTGGCTTGGAGATTTTATGATTCCAGTTTCTTTGCCCTGTTTCTTCGTTTTTGTTTATCCACCTTGTTTGTATGCTAAATTTACCTCTGAATACGTTGATTTTCCAACAGTAGAGATGGACCTGAATCAAAACTCCAGATTCGAATAACCCTGACCTGATTCCTTTGCTACTTAGCTTTTCTCTCCTAAGTGAAATCAAAAGATATAAAATAAGCACTTTCCTTACTATTCTTATGACATTTTCTCTACTTAAATTATTATTTATTCAGTGCATGGACCCTTGGAGAGATGGGCATACCCGGATTATCCAATTCCTGGATATTCACATTTCAAATTATCCAACATTTGTTTCTATCCCCCAAATCCACAATTTGTATTGAAAGAGAAAATCGTTTATCCCAAACCCCAAGAGTCTGAAGGTCAAAGAAGAACAGGTCCCTGCAGCTTGGAGTCTAAATTAGAGAAACACAGTGAACAATGACAGACTGAGGAGAAAGGACAAAGGGTGTAGTAATAGAGGATCATGAACTAAATTCCATCCCAGCTGTAACTCCATTGGGCCAAATTAAGGGGAAATGTGTAAACAGAGAAATTTAAACTCCCTGACACTAATTTACCAAGTGTAAGGGAGTCTAAAGCATTATGTACACTGGGTATTTGCCCCAGCTGCAGCCATTGATGACCACAAAACAGCATAGCTGCACATAGGTGACAGTTTACATCAACCTAACTATGTAAGTGTCTACATTAAAATTTCGCTCCCACTGATGTAACTGCTTCACTATGCCAACTTAATAACTCCACCTCCAGGAGAGGCATAGAGTCAGTGTTGATGTAGTTAGGTCAGTGCAGTGTCATGTAGACATTGCGTTGTTTATGTTGACTGTTACTGGCTTTTAGAAGCTGTGTCACAATGCCCCACACTCACACTACAATCGGTACAAGCGCTCCTGGTGAGGAGGCACACCGCTGACACAAGGATCATTGTGTGGACATGCAAAAGTGATTTAATTACTGCGGGTATATGCCAAAGTAACTTAGGTCGACATAATTTTGTAGTGTAGACATACCCATAACTATGCCAGAAAACCTCCCAGTACAGATGCAGCTACACCAACAGAAAAGTGCTTCTGGGGGCATAGCTAATGTCACCTGGGGAGGCAGTTTTACTATGCTGACAAAAAAACACCTTTGGTTGACATAAACAGTGTTTGCACTAGGAGGCTCTGCCATTATAGTTATATCAGCAACACATTTGTAGTGTAGGGCATGTCTACGCTACGGGAACTATAACGATACAGCTGCAGTGCTGCCGCTGCAGTGCCTATAGTGTAGATGCTTCCTACTACGACGGAACAGGTTTTTCCAACCACCTCCCTCAGCAGTTGTAGTGAGGCCGATGGAAGAATTTTCCCATCAACCTAGCTGCATCTACACCAAGGGTTAGGTTTGTTTGACTATGGTCCTCAAGGGTGTGAATTTTTCATACCCCTGAGAGATATAGCTAGGATAAATGTCTATCTGGGATAGTCTAGACAGTATTTGGTCCTGCCATGCGGGCAGGGGACTGGACTCGATGACGTCTCGAGGTCCCTTCCAGTCCTAGAATCTATGAATCTAGGTTGATCTAAAGTGTAATTGTAGACCAGGGTATAGACAAAGCCTAAATTACAGTAACGTTAGGCCTGGTCTATACTAAAAATTAAATCGACCTAGTTATGTTGCTCAGGGCTGGGGAAAATATCTTTTGTCAATCTACCTACCATCTCTTGGAGATGTGGATTAACCACATCAACAGAAAAACCCCTTCCATCAATGTACAAAGTGTCTACTATGGCACTACAATGACACAGCTGTAGCGCCGTAGCTGTGCCAGCTGTAGTGTAGACATACTCTAGATTTCTTCTAGCCTCACTTAGGCCTTCTGTACACTAGAAAACTGAACCATTTTTCCAGTAGGTTTAGCTGACCCTTCACTAACTATGGTTTGTCCTTGTCTACACTTGCCACTAAACTGTAATATAGCTCTGGTTCGACTAAACTGAATACTGAAACAGTGATGTTTCCTAGTGTGCGTAGGGCCACAGACTCACTGCTGAATTTAGCCCATTGATTTCAGTGGCATCACACCAGGAATTTAATTTGGTCTCACTTTGGTGTAAAATATCAGGGGCACTGGAAGTTACATGGAAAATGTGGAGAAAAGTGCAAGGAATTTTGCCAATTTGTTTTTGCGAGTCTCTAAAAATTTAAAGAAATGTTTCCATTTTTACAAAACATTTAGAACCTCTTACTCCAGGGAACTGATTTTTTCTTGAGACTCGCATTATGATCTCCTTTATTCCTAATTTATTGTGTACCTATTTTTTCAATTGTGCAAATGTAAACTAAATGAGCATATGCAATAAGCTTGGACTTCCCCTGCTTGTATCTGTTTCTTCCATTTTTATAAAAGAAATATCCCTTCTTTACCTTTAGCCTCCAATGTGATAACTGATCAGACAGAGCTGCGGAAAATCAAGTGCATGGAGAAGACGGGAATCAGCATAACGAGAGAGCTCATGTGGTGGTGGGGAGTGAGGCTAGCAACAGTCCAACAGTTACTGGAACTTCTCCAAGCACTGCAGCTCTACCGAGCGGCACAAGTGATTCTGGACTGTGAGTAGATGATCTTTCTCCCTGAGAGAAACTTATTTTATTTTATATTAGGCAACGTAAACCCTAGCAAAATAAATCCTCTTTTTAGTTAAGAAAACCTCTCACTGGAAACCTCATTCTAAAATTCCAACTACATTGATTTTCCACCCTCACAAATCATATTAAGCAATAACATAGGAAGTGCCATACCAAAGCAGATCATTGGTCCCTCTAGTTCAATATCCTGTTTCTAACAGTGATCAGTATGAGATGACTCAGAGGAAGATGCAAGAACCTCGATGTAGAAATCAATCTGCCCAGAGAAGTTGGCTTATGCTCTGAACCACAAGAATTTATGTCTCTAGCACAGAGGTGGGCAAACTACAGCCCACGGGCCACATCCGGCCCGAGGGACTATCCTGCCCGGTCCCTGAGCTCCCGTCAGGGGAGGCTAGCCCCCGGCCCCTCCCTTGCTGTCCTCCCTTCCCCGCAGCGCGCCATGTCACCAGTGCTCTGGCCCACCTCTCCTGCTGGGCAGCGCAGCGGCATGGCTGGCTCCAGCATGGTAAGGAAGCGTGGGATCCCGGGGGGGCAGTCAGAGGACAGGGAGCAGGGGGTGGTTGGATGGGGCAAAGGTTCGGGGGGGGGGGGCAGTCAGGGGACAGGGAAAGATAGGCATGGGAGTACCAGGGGGCCTGTCAGGGGGTGGGGGTGTGGATAGGAGTCGGGGCAGTCAGGGGACTGGGAGCAGGGGGGTTGGCTAGGGGGTGGGGTCCCTGGGGGGGCAGTCTAGGGGCGGGGGGTCCAGGGAGGGGTTGGTCAGGGGGACAAGGGAGCGGGGGGGTTGGATGGGTCGGGGTTCTGAGGGGGGCAATCAGAGGGCGGGATGTGGGAGGGGGCGGATAGGGGGCGGGGGCCAGGCTGTCTAGGGAGGCATAGACTTCCCTAC